AGAGATTGATCGGGAGTGGTGTGATGATGCCATCGTTGGAGTGGGAGGGGTTGGTGGGTGAGGGCAGGTTGTGCAGTGTGGTGGGGAGGACGGGGTCGTTGCAAAAATGTTTATTTGGGTCAGACACGTTTTTCAAAAGGCAGAATATTGGGTGTGTGGTGGGGAGCAATCTCAGGAGCGGTGAGTGGGCCACCGGGAATGCAGACGCACCCGATGTTTGGCATGAACCTGCTACAACACCACAAAGCGTAGCAGAAAACACGTCCACGTGGCCACGGATATCTCCTGAAATCTTGGCAAAGGCTCCTCTCCTCTCACTTGTGCAGTGAGCACTCTCGCACGTGTGTCTTAATGCACGGTGCATTTCTCACCACACCACCACACGCACACACGCATACACGCACACGCACACGCACACGCACGTTTCTGCACGTGGTTGGTTGGTTGGTTGGTTGGTTGTTTGATTCGTCGATCCAGCAGCAGCACCATGGCGGGAGCAAAGAAGAGGGCGAAGAAGAGCCACCAAGGCAAGCAGGTGGCGCGCAAGGGCCGCCAAGAAGGCAGACCCAAGGCAATCAAAGCAACACTACCAGCACGCACCCAAGACGAGCTGCTCCACGGCGAGTTTGGACCTTTGCACGAGATGCACGTTCTCAAGCGTGAGTACAAGGCGCGTTACAACGACGATGACGAAGACGACGACAACGACGATGCCCACGCAGCAGCATCGGAGCCCGAAGCAAGTTCCGACGAGGACAACACAGCGGACAGCAAGGCCATGGACCAGCAGGCAGATGATGCCGATGACAACAGCGATGAGGAGGATGAGGACGACGATGAGACCGCCGTCAAGGCCAACTCAAGCAGGGTTGCATCTCAGGGCCTCATGAAGTGTTTCTGGGATCTTGCGTCGCTGAACCCCGTCGATCGCATCCAAGCAGGCGCCGCTATCATTCAGCTTCTTCAAGCAAGGTGTGCCTGTGTGCGTGTGCGCTTGTGTTGTGCAGCTGGTTGTCTGTTTGTGTGTGCATGTGTGTGTGGTGGTGGTGGTGGTGGTGGTGGTGGTGAGGGTGGTCGGTCGTTTTGCTCATCACCTTTCTCCTTTCTCGCTCTTCTCTTCTCGTTCACACCCTACCCGCTCACACGCCTTCCCTTCTCCCAACTCCACCAACACCCTCAACTCCCTCAGCCAAGAGCAACAAGCCGAGGACGAGTTAAGCCCAGATACAGAGTATTCTCTCAAGCGCCTCGTGCGTGGCATGGGATCCAACCGCAAGGCCGCCCGCCAAGGCTTCGGCATCGTTCTCACTGAACTCCTGGCAACGGTCCATCAGGTGTGTTTCACGGCATGTATTTGCTTGAGAACCACAACCACAATCTTGCACATTGCCACGGCTCTCTATTTGCTTGTGTCTCGCTCTCTTTTGTTTGTATCTCTCTCTTTCAGTCTCTCTCCGTCTTCGTTCCGGTTCATGCCTTCTCTCCCATGACTCATCCTTGTTTCCCTCCGGTTCCAACGTTATTGTGTGTTGGCGTGCTTCCCCCCTCAACCTAGATCCCCATTCAAAAGGTGATCGGTATGGTGGAGTCAGTGCACAAGCCCTCGTCCAGTGCATCTGGTGCAGAGAAACGCGAGTGCCAGTACGGCCGCCTCTTCTCATACGGTGCCTTGGTAAGATGAGAAAAAACGAATGCTTTTTGTCTTGGTGCCACTCTTTCCCCTTGCTTCCTTCCCAAACTCGTTTATGTTGCGAATCTTCACCTGTCTTTACACGCACACATGATATACTTACTGTGTTTCCAACTCACCACTCCGCCCTCCATCATTTTCCTGTCCCCCCTCCCACACACACACACACACACACACACACACACACACACACAGATACGCAGCCGTGCGTTGTGTCGGGATGAGAACCCTCCCAAACGGGGCGCCATCAAGACCATCATGGAGCACCTGCTGGCCATTGGCGAGTTCAAGAACTACGTCACTGCACCAGCAACACAGGTCATCTGCGAGCTGATCCAGTCGCTGCCGACAGACGTGTTTGTGAGCGAGGTCTTCCCCGCGCTTGCAACACGCATCATGCCGCAGTCCGACAAGACCAAGACAAAGAAGAATAAGGGCGCAGCGCCATCGTCCGCGCCGCTCGACATTTTGTCTGCCCAAGACATGTGCTTCCTCATGGCATCGCGCAAGCACCTGGAGGCCCTTCGCGACGGCGCCGCCAAGCTGCCCAAGGGCGTGAGCACCGACGCCGTTGAGGACCGCCTGGCCATCCTGCGCTTTGACGCCGACAAGCTCGGTGCTTTCACCGTCGCCGTGCTGGAGGCGCAACTCATGCACCCGCTCTGGCTCATGCTCGGCTACTCGCTCGCTGAGGCTCAGGACTCAACCTTCTCCATGGCTTGGCTTGCACTCGTGCACAAGACGCTTCTTGCAGAGGACAACGTCCGCAACGAGCGCCGTGCCATCGTTTTTGCCCTCATCCGCCTCATCGCCCCAAAGTCCCCTGCAAAGGTAGACGAACCAGCACTGGTGTCTCAACATGCTTGCGTGCTCTCTGCAGCGCCTATGATGTGAGCTTTCACCGTTTCTCTGCACACAACCCCGCTGCCTTGCCGTCTCTTAGCTCCGCGTTCTTGTCTGCCTTGCTTGCTTCCCCATCCCCGTCTCGCCCCCTCCTGGCTTGTGTCTCTGCCGATTATCGTTTTCGATGTGCACTTCTTTCCCGTGTGTATTTCGACAGAACTTCGGCAAACATTAACCTGGGTCATTTTTCGGTTCTGATGGCTGTTGTCTCGTCCTTCTGAACCTGTGCTCGACCCAACACCCTCCTTTTTGTCTTTGCTCTTCCCCTCTCGTCTTTTTTCCTTTTTCATGTTTGTGTCGTGTACCAACACTTCGTCTGCTGCTCATTTGATCGATGTCCCTACTCGATCGTCCAATCCCTTCTGACACGCACAACCCCACGCTGCTGCCTGTCGGACCTGCACACGTTCAGATTCAAGCCATGCTGAGCCCCATGGTCATGTCCTGCCTCATGACAAATCTGGCAGCCCCAACAAAGTACCTTCATGGTGCAGCAAACGCAGGTATGCCAGCACGTGTTTCGTCGCATACTGTGTGTGTGTTTTTGCAGTTACACTATCGCGCGGATGCGGGCCGCTGCGTCTTCACTTTTTCTTGTTCTCCACTGCTTATCTCGCTGGTCTTTGCACTTCCTTTTCCCACCCTGCTCCTTTGATTCCGTCTTCCCCCTATATCCACCCATCCCCTCTATCTGTCCCCTCGCTATCCATCCCCCTGTCACCCTCTTCCTTCTTCCTCCCTCCTGTCACGGTCGTCATGCTAATCCTGTGTTGGGCCAGTTCCGTGCCCTTCGTAGTTCAATTTCCGACCAATATCGACTGGCTGGTGATAAGACTGACAGGCACTAAGGCACATGCCAATGGGTGCCTGTCAGGATAACCTTCCTACACTCATTTCCTTCTCTTTCCTTTTCTGTTTGTCCCTCTTTCACCCGTTTCTCCACGTTGCACAACCACGACTCTATTTAGTGGCCTTCTTCCTGCTGCCTGCATTATCACCATGTACGACGTCGACAACGATGTTGCTCACTGCGTGTCTCCACAACTTTCATTTCACTTGGTAGTGCTTGCGACGCTCGTGAAGGCGGTGAAAGGGGACGACACCCCAAGCAACGTTCGCCTCGATCTCCTCGCACGCCTTACCGGACCACACGGCTCCCGCAAGCTGGACCAGCTCACCAAAACTCGCACCATCAGCGTAAGTGCCAACAGTGCGCGCGCTCCCTCCCACACACACACACACACACACACACACACACACTCTCTCTCTCTCTCTCTCTCTCTTCAGTCACAACAACCGCTTCAGCTGCTTTATTTTGTCGGAGTTTTGAGCCTTCTTTCTCACATGTCATTGGCGCATCTTGGTCGCTGATTGCTCCTGTAGGGTATCCTTTCGACGCTGAAGCCAGATGAAGTCCGGGAGTATGTGCTCCGTCTCCAGCGCACTTTCAACAACCCCTCCATTCGGCACGAAAGCAGTACGTCTCCATGCCTTCCTCGCAACGCGTGCTTGCGTGTGTGGTGACGAGGATCACCGACATGCTTGTTTTTTTTTTCATGTTTGCAATGGCCTGATTGCAAGGCAAGGGAGAGTTTTACTTGCTACCACAATTGTGCTTCTCCTCACGCAACTGCTTATTCAACAACAGAACTGGAAGAGGAGACCATTGCCATGTATGTTGCAGAGCAAAGAATTTTCGCCCTGGATCAGGTATGTTCCCATGACGCGTGCCAACGCGTGTGCTTGTTCGCATGCATGTGCATGTGCTTGTTTGCCTCTCCTCAGTTCATGCTACAATGGCGCCAGCGCTCATTTGCGTTCCTTTAACACTGATGGCCTTCGTATTGCAGATGATGGCACTATTTCGCGGTGGTTCAAAGGTCCCAAAGGCCGAGGACTGGACCATGGGGTGTCTCGCGTTTTGCATGATTCACTCCTTTTTCAACGTGAACGGACACGTTGACGCCATCAACGCTGCTCTCGGAGGTGAGCCCGTAGGCACACAGTGGAGAGAGGATTGTGTGTGGGAGGGGATGCGGTGCGTGTGTGGGTTGGTCCATTTGGTATTGTGTTGTCGCACGCGTGAATGCCAAACTCACCCTTGTGTGTATTCTTGTGTGTGCTTTGGTAGACTTGGCCGAGGTGTGCATCGTGGAGGAATTGAAGCACCCGCTGAACCGCCGGACCATGGCGAAGATCAAGTCCCGCTATGAATCGTTTGTGAACGATCTTTGCTCGGCGATGCCCTTTGACGGTGAGCACGTCATGCGTTGATAACCTAGAAGCGATAGCTGCCAGCCGTGCTGTTGTCAGCTGTTCGGCGACATGTTTAAGTAGCGGCGTGTTTCAGCTCACTGTGATGCGCCTGCATGTATACGTGGCGCATGTGCAGAGGTGCCCGAGGGCCGGTCACGCTTCAGCGGTTGCCGTGCGGATGGAACGTATCGGATCGCTGCGATTGTCGATGTGATGGAACGCATGATCGACTCGGCGCCACTACTGACGCCAATGACCGACGAGGTCAAAGAGGCATACGACGCCCTCGTCAAGCTCAACACCGAGGTACGCACGCTGTGGTCATGGCCATTGTGTGTACATGGTGCAGTTGTGATATGGTTGTGGTTGTGTTCCTGTAGCGAACCAAAATCAAGCAACTCCCTCATTTATCATTGCTGCGCAGTGTTGGTCACACGTCGATGCCCTGCTTCCCTTCCTCCCTGCTCTCACCACCCTTATCACTCTCACCGCTCGCTGTTCCTTTCGTGTTCCCGCGTTTTGGTGGTAGTTGAAGAACATTTCCAAGGGCACCAGGCTCCCGCGCGAAGTCAAGGGCAAGGCGGACGTCGTCAAGTCCCTGCAACAGGCAGCCAAGGCCTTTCGCTTTCTCGTCATGCACACCATCGCCATGGTGGGTTGGTGGTGGACCGTGACTGCTGTGTGTCTGTGACTGCGGGTGGGCTGTGAGCAATTTGGAGGGTGCCGCGTCAGATTGACAATCGAACTGCATCTGCGCGTGTTGCTGAGCGATCACAACGGAGGGTGCCGACCTGACTGGTGCCATTGTTCATTATGCCCTCGCAACTCCACTGCAGGTGTTTTCGGATGTCAAGTCTGTTGTGGCCACGGCGCCGGATCTGAACGGGTCATACCACGACATGCAAGCGCGCATCATCAAGAAGGCTCAGCTCAAGATGAGGAGGCGACGCAGTCAAAAGCCCAAAGACGATGTTGACAGCGACGTTGACCCCATGGAGGTGGGACCCAGTGCCATGCTGTGTGTTTGGACCCGTTTCGCGTGTGTTTGGTTTTATATGGCTGTGTGTCATGCAACTTTGTCCTGCATCTGCCCCCTCTCCATCTTGCACCTCAGTACACCCTCTGCCCCACCTCCTTCCATCGTTCAAGTCTCCTCTCTTTAGTTTCCCATTTGTTTCCCTTTCCCTGCTCCAACCAAAAATGGTCGCTTTCTCGTTAATCCCACTTGCGGTGCATTCGACCACCCCTGTGGTTCAATGGCGACCAACATGAACTTGAGTGCTTTTCGTCAGAGGCTGCTCGCCAACGTGGCAATGAGCGCTGTCTCTTCAAATGCACCCAGACACATCTACAACACCCCCCTCCTCGTTTTTTTCTTTTCCTCATGCGTTGTTGTCTCAGTTCGTTGTTGCATGTATGTTTGTTTGTGTGTTTGTGTGTGTGTTTGTGTGTGAATGGGTCGTGTAACTGCTCGAGCAGCTCCCGTTTGATGTGCTTCTCACACGGCTTATCACCGCGTCATGTGCGCGACGCGTTGGCAGGTGCTTGTTGATGTGCTGTTGGGCATGATCGCGCAGCCATCTGCGCTGCTGCGCAACGTGGTGAACAAGGTGTTCAGCATGATGTGCGACAGCATGACGGACCGGGCAATTGATCTACTTTGCGAGGTGATTGCCGACCCGAAGCCCATCCGCCGCATGGAAGCAGAGGAGGACGATGAAGATGATGAAGACATGGATGAGGATGATGATGAGGGTGACGACGACGACGATGATGATGATGATGATGAGGACGACAACGATGATGACGATGACTCGAGTGATGACGATGACGATGAGAGTGACGACAGCGACATGGAAGCTAGTGACAGTGGGGAAAGCAACCCGAGCGGCCTTGCGTCAAAGCGAGCAAAACGTGGTGATATGACCGAGGAGGAGCAGCTGCGCAAGTTGAAGGCAAAGGTCGGTGAGGCCCTCAACTTGCCCGTTGATGAAGAGGGTAACGTTGTTGACAACGATGACGAGGGCGCTGACTCCGACTGGGACGATGAGCGGTATGTGTGTGTGTGTGTGCGCGTGTGTTGGTGGATGGGCTGCCTTGCTTGAGTGTGTGTTGTTGGAGGCTTTGTTGAAGTGAAAGGTTTTATGCCCGGCGGTATGGTTCGTTTTATGTTGTTGTTAGCGGTAGGCTCATGTTACCATTTTCGCTTGGTTGGGCCGGGGCACAGGATGATGGCCGTGGACAATGTGATTGCTGCGCATTTCCGCCAACATGCGCTGTCGAAAAAGCCAAAGCAGGCTGCCGTCCGGCAGGAGAACGCACGCTTCAAGCTGAGGCTGCTGGATCTCATTGAGGTGTACATGCGCAAGTGCTCGGCAAATCCAGCCATCCTCAGCTTCCTGCCCGCACTCTTCAAGGTACTGCGTTTGTGCCCATAGAAGCGAAAGGCATAAATGCCCATGCCGCCCTTGTTGGTGTTGCCCTCCAGAATGGGTTCCTGACGCATCTTCTTCTCCACCACTATCTTGTCCCTTTCTCCGTGTCTGCAACAACGGTCGCTTTCTCGTAATCCCCACTTGCGGTGCCCTTCTGATCGCCCTTGTGGTACAAAGACGACCAACATGAACTTGAGTGCCATTCGTCAGAGGCTGCTTGCCAAGTCTTAAATGCTTTGACAATGGGCTTTGTCTCTTCAAATGCACCCAGACACAACCTACCTTTAGTTTCCTCCTCCTTTTGAGGTTATTCTGTGTACCCCCTCTTTATTTCCTGTGGACTTGTGTGTTTGTGTGTGTGTGTGTCTTTCTCTCTCTTTCTCTCTGTCTGTCTGTCTCTCTCTCTCTCTCTCTTTTGCAAACCGTTTACGGCTTTTACGTGTTCGTTGTTGCGTACCGGTTTATGCTCCGCCGCAGACTCACCTCACCGTCTCTCTGTGTGACGATTTTGCTTTGTGTCTGATAGGCGCATCGCACAAATGCGACGTTGAAGAAGGACGGCGAAGCTGTGGCCGCTCGCCTTCATGGACTCTATTGCAACAAGTGAGTCGTGCGTTGAGTGTCTGTGTGTCTCATGTGCACGCCCACCAGGACGGTTGTCGTTGTTTCTGGTGATTGGTTGCTCACGTCGTGCGCAATGCGGGATTGTTTCTGCAGGCTGAATCAGCTCAAGCCGCTACCCAAGGTAGAGACGCCCGAGCAGGTTGCCCTGTGTGAGAGCACCATCAAGGCTGGCGTGCATCTTGTCAGCACGGGATCGGACAAGGCGCAGCGCGACATAGGCGGCGCCGTGACCAAGTTTGCGGTTCGGGCACTCACCCACGGCGAGACGAGTATTGAGAGCACGGACGATGGCCAGTTCCTGGGCAAGCTGCGCGTCAGCCTGTTTGCAGAGGAGTATGGCACTGCCATTGAGCACTTTTTGCAGAAGCACAAGTTTAACATGAACGACTCGGTTCTCTCGGACTTGGCCCGCAGCTTTCCACGTGAGTGTTTGTGCTTTTGCTCGTGTCATTGCATGTTTTGTGCAGAGTGCGCGCATGTGATGGGTTAGTTGGTCGGTTTGTGCAGGTGCGTTTTTTGTTGGTTGTTGTTGTTGTTGGTTGTTGT